CAGAACTGGTCTCCGAGAGCTTGAGAGCTGTTCTACCAGAGTTGTCACTTTGGTTAGAAAGTAAAACCGTGGTCTGGGAAGTTCCTGTTGATGGCTACTGATTAACTAGGAGAGAACCTGCAGCGTATTTTAATATGGTAGGGAAGGAAGTTGGTGAGGGCACGAAGTTTCCTGGCTGCATGTGAACAGAAGTGCAGGTGAGCTCTCTCCCTCTGGTCAGTGCCTGTTATTCCTGACACCAGCAAAGGGCTGAGCCCTGGGGAGCGTGTCCTGGACAAGTGCCTGTGTGCTCTGCAGCGTGCTCGCCCAGCTGCTGGGTGCTGATGGCACTGGGGAGATGAGGCAGAGCTTGATGGGGAACATTTCTTTATAGAGCCAGGAAACTGTGGAGAAAACCCAGTGATCCCCCTGGGCAGCCCTGCTCTGTTCTGAGGAGAGCAAGTGAATCTCTGCCTTATTCTCAAACTGAAGATAAAGCACTGCACTTCCTCCCTTCTAGTAACACTGCAGGTTTGTTGTGAAGCTGAATTGCTCAGGTTCTCAATACCACTCCAGGAGTCTCCAGGGGAAGTTCAAAGTAGCATTTGTCCTTTGGTGTTTATTTTCTGCTTGCAGTGGCTGGGAGGTAGCTGCCCACACGAGATGGTGTCATCAGAGAGCCACATGCCCCCACCACAGTCCCAGCTGCCACATAAAGCCCAGCCTTTCTCTCTGGACTCTGTTCCTGCTGCTCAGTGCCAGCCAGATGGTCTGTCCTCCTCCCACACTGAGATCTCTAAAGCTCATCAGAGGGCTCTGGCCATAGCTGGGCCAAGACAGCATCATTTCCATCATGGTATTATTTCCACCATTTGGGGTGGCTTTGTGTGACTCTGGATTGCTCTTCTCATTTCTTACCTTTTTTAAATTAATGTTATTATTTTGTTATACTTTTCCTTTATGTCAATTGGAGAGCCCAGTATCTCTGAACTATTTTTCATGCTAAAATTTATCATTAATGGGTACAAGCTTCCAAAATCAGTAGCCCACTTAATAGTTAGTGTTTTCTGGCTTTCCTTTAATTACCAGGAACATGAACTTTATACACCATTTGGGGCTAAGGAAAGGAATCTGTTTTTTATAAGTCATACTTCCCACGTGTGTTCACTGGGTAGATCTGAGCTCTGAAAGTGGAGCTGTGGTTTGGTCCCAGGGAAGTGCCAGTGTCCTGGAGATCTGCCCTGCCATCAGGAATAATCCCTGCTCCTGGAGCTGTGGTGTTGTCCCAGGGAAGTGCGGGTGTCCTGCAGCTCTGCCCTGGAATGATCAGGAATGATCCCTGCTCAGGATTGATCAGGAATTATGGAGTCACTGCTGTTACCTGTGCAAGTGCCCCGGGCACCAGCAGGCAGAGGGCAGGTGATCAGCACTCACTCCAGGTGCTGCTCTGAGAGCTGCCCCTGGGCTCAAACACCCTCCTGGCCGTGGGTTATTCCCCCTTCTCACTGGGCACCTGGCTCCGTGTCCAGGTTAAAGAGTGCAGGTAAATATTTGGATTGTGCTGCTGCTCTCCAGAGCAGGTCTGTGCTGAGCCTTTCCAGCAGCCCGAGCTGAGAAGGTTTTGCTGAGTGCAGCTCAGCCTGCAGCTGCTGGTGGCAGCATTGTGATTCCCTGGAATGAGGGAATTCCCTGCACAGCACACGGGATTTTTCTGTGTGAGGGGAAGCTGCAGAGCACAGTGAGACATGGAGGGTCAGGCATTGCTCTTGGTGCTGAGCCTCTTGCTGTGAGAAGCATCTCTGCCAACCTGGGCAGGGCATGTGCATCCTCTGCTGCCTCCAGAATACCTTACACATTCATTGCTACTGCTTTTGGAATCAAATAACTTCATAAAGCATGTGTAGAATGAAACATTCCTTGTGAGGAGTTTGCCCACTTTCTGATAACAGTGGATCATGTCTCTCACCTCATCTCTGTGTATCTGCACTGTTTATTCATGTGTGCACACATAAATATTAGTTAACTTATAAGTTAACTTATTTCCTGCATCCAACTTTGAGCAATATCAGCTTACTTCTATCAGTAACAAGCAATACCAGTTTACTTCCATTAATAACTTGAGCAGTATCAGTTTCCTTGCATTAATAACTCTCTTGTAAAGTGCAGCTCTGTACAACTAATCAAAGCTCCTTGGAAAAGTGTCTCTCATGGAACACAGTGCTCAAAGCACAGAAATAAGGCAGCTGACGGGTTTGATGGAAATGAATCAGCCAGAATAGCAGATGCAGCTCTCTCAAGGTGCTGTGTTTCTGCACAGCACATAATGGACACCTTGCTCAGCTTCCAGATTAATGCACTTTATCCAGATACAAAGTAGGTGGATTCCTGACACGCTGCACTAGCATCTCTGCTCTCAGGAGGTGAAGCACCAATTGTTTTACGATTTGGAATGAATGTGGCAGGCTCAGGGCTGAACCTGCAGGAATTTTGCTTATTGTGAAAATGATACCCCAAGCTGAGAAACCTGCAGAGTGGAAAAGTGAGGAATGTTTTCAACTCCCTCTGAATTGGCTGCTTTATCAAGCTGGTTTTGAACTCAGATTTATATCTGATCAGGATTTTGGTAACTTTTTGCCAAAACAGTTTTGTTGTAACAGTCCTAATTAAACCTAATTATATACTTGTGGACACTTCTTATGCGAATTGATGTATAAAATAAGTGATACAGGTACAGCCTGCATTTTAGTCAGTGGCATAGACAGAATGTTCTTCTCCTGTATTGAAATGATGCAAATTTGTTAAGTTCCTAAGTGTGTGTCCCTTTGAAATGATGGTATTTGGCCCAAGTGTGGGGTTGGTTAGGATTTTGTTTGCTTTTTTTTTTGTACTGTAGGGTAAGGCATGATCTTGGCTGGGCTCTCCTGGAATCCTGTAAAGCAAATAACTTTGAGGGCTATCCAAAAACAGCTGGTGTTTCTTGGGAAGGTTTTCTTGTGGGATGTTTGTGTCAGCTGATGGAACCCCTTCGGGAGTCTGCCTTCATCCCTGATGTGCCCGGGAAAACCCTTTGTTCGGGGGGCCACCGTGGTGTGGGAGACCCCTTTGTGCAAGAACAAAGGAGGATTGTATCAGCCGGGCCGTGAGAGGGAGGGGAGGGGGCTCAGGGGCTCTTTCAGAGGCTGCAGGGCTGTAGTGACAGCCACGGTTCCCTGTAAATCTCCCCTGTGATAGGGGTTCTGCGTGGGAGCTGGGCGGGAGATAAGATCTGCTCTTATTGTGTGCAAATTCTTACTGGTGAATATTTGATATGGTTTCCTTAATTAAAACACGATGCCTCTTGGACTTCTGTGGCCTAAAGCAAGAGGCCTGGCCGTAGGCTGGACTGTGGTGTTATTTCTGTGCTTTAAAATTAACTAAGAGCTTGTGTCTTGCTACTTAAGGCAGGGGGGGCTTAGTGCAGGCTGCAAGGAAAGCTCGTGGGTGGTGAGGGTGAAAGTGCAGGAAATGTAGAATGAAGCCTGGCAGAGGTAGTGGGTATTGCTGCTTGGGTTCCAAAGCTTGGCAGAACATGCCTTTAGTGTCACCAGTGCACAGTCCATACCCAAACCACACCCCCAGTGGAGCCTGGGGACGTTTTAGGATGGAGCAAGGCACAGACAGGTGTTGGTGGCTCCCAGCTGCAGCAGAGCATCAGAGCATGCCTGCTCCCCTCAGACCTGCACGGCTGTCACACTGGGACTGCCCTGGGGGTCTCTAGAGCTTGCAAGTCAGCACCAGCATTGCCACTGAGGCTGCCTGGGGACAGGGGAAAGGTCCTCCAGGTCCTTCTGTTCCCTTGTTAGTTGTCTGCACTCCAGGAACGGATTGTAGCTAAATTGGTCGTTAAGGATCAGAGGAGTACCATTTCCTGGGATTTCAGATTGTTCCTTGTCCTTTTTGTTCTGAATGAAATGGATCTGTGTCCCTCAGCAGAGCTGAGCCCTCCGTGTGCTGTGGTGCTTCATCCGGGGCTGGGTTTGTTACTCAGGCCCCCTGGCAGTATTTTATGAGGAGGTTTGGGTGGCAGTGTCCTCACATCCTGCTAGAATTGCTTGGATAAAGACAGTTGGAGTTGTTTGTGCGAAGTGTGGGCGAGCAAGCAGCTGGGTTGACCAGAGTGAAGGTGGGAGGGAGATAAAATGGGAGAGCAAAGTGGGCTTGTAACAGGAAGGGGTGTCTGGATTGCTGAAACCAGAACCTGAACTTCATAAAATAGCAAAGGGAGAAGGAGGATCCAGCAAAAGGATTTGGTGTCAGGACAGGAGATTAAGAATTCCATGGCTCCAAAGAAGTATGGAATGCTGGTGTGCCTGCCTGTAGCCGTCAGTGTTAATTTTGGGTGCTGATGTAAGTGCTCCTCCCCAGGCTCAAACTGCCTGTCCATGGGTGATTTCATTGCCACAGGGCAATGTCTGCCAAGGGCGAGGGCACAGGGCCCAGTGTCCTCATAACTCTGCTCTGGTCTCAGAATCAGGGGGTGATTACCTTTGAGTCACCTTTTTAATTACTGTAACCTTCATGTGGCAGGATTTATGGTTCCGTGGTGTTGTCGGATGTGTCTGCAGCCTGTTAAATGTGGGACAGCATCACTGAATGGATTGGATCGATCGTGTCTCCAGGCCCCACAGTGGCCTGCGGTGGCGGTGGCGGGTGGTGGTGACAGAGGTGACAGGGGTGCCCACTGCTCCCTGCAGCACCCGGGCAGTTGCTGGCTGGTGGCACCAGTGCAGCTCTGGCTCCATCCAGCTGATGTGACCGTGCCCTTTGCCTGCACATCCATGGGGATGGGCACGTTTGGAGAGTGAAGAACTTTGTTTGTTGCCATCTTTGTGTGAAGTGACGGACCATTTTGCATAAAGGGCTCAAACAGCTGCAGTGCCTGCAGTAGCAGGGGGCATTTTTGGTAAATCAAGTCCCAGTTACCCACTCCCGTTTCCCTTGCAGGTCAGAGCCTTTGATGGTGAGCGGGAAGCTGTCCCACCATGAGTTACTGGAGTCTGGATAAGAAGAGCTGCCTGCAGTACTGCCGGCACTTCCTAGCGGACAACGGCGTGTTCCACGGTGAGTTGCGGTTATTCCGCTTATTCCGCAGTTTCGGCTGTTGGTGTTTCCCGCTGCTGTGGTCCCTGACATCGCGTACTCACGGGAGTGTCTCCTGGGGACGCTGCTCCGTGCGGGGGCTCGGCCGGGGGGCGCTCGGGGGGCGCTCGGGACCCCGGGAGCGGCGGGGCTGCGGCGGCGCCGCCAGGGGGCGCTCCGCGACCGCCGCCCCCGGTACCGGCTGCGACCGATGTGCCCCGGTACCGGCTCTGACCGCTCCGACCAATTCCCCCCGGTACCGGCTGCGACCGATGTGCCCCGGTACCGGCTCTGACCGATCCAACCGACTACCTCTGGTACCGGCTCTGACCGATCCCCCTGATCCGACCGACTTCACCCCTGGTACCGGCTCCGACCGATGTGCCCCGGTACCGGCTCTGACCGATCCGACCAATTCCCCCCGGGAGCGGCTGCGACCGATGTGCCCCGGTACCGGCTCTGACCGATCCGACCAATTCCCCCCGGTACCGGCTGCGACCGATGTGCCCCGGTACCGGCTCTGACCGATCCCCCTGATCCGACCGACTTCACCCGGTACCGGCTGCGACCGATGTCCCCCGGTTCCGGGTCTGACTGATGCCCTGATCCGGCCGACTACCCCTGGTACCGGGTCTGACCGACCTCCCCCGGTACCGGCTCCGACCAATGCCCCTGATCCAATCAATTCCCCCAGTACCGGGTCTGACTGATGTCCCCGGATTCGACCAACTCCCCCGGCACTGGTCTGACCGATCCCACCGATGTTCCCCGGTACCAGTCCGATCGATCCCTCCCGGTCTGGCTGATCCCCCCCGGTGCTGCCGGTGCCGGAGCCACCGCGGTCCGGCTGGCCCCACCAGTGCTGGAGCCGCGGGGATCAGCCCGGGCAGGCTGCCCCGGGCAGGCAGAGCCCTGGGCTGGGGTGCACCCCGCAGAGGGGCTGCAGCTCAGCCTGGCACAGCTGTGCGGGGTCTGTGCTCGCTGTGCTGTGGGGGGCAGGGGCTGGGGGTCCAGCAGGTCACATCTAATCAGACAGCTGGACACGTCTGTCTGCTGGGGAAGTGACTTCCTAATGCTGCTCCGAGAGGCCCACACCTTGTGGTCTTTATTCCCTTTGAGGTCAGTAATTAAAACCCATCGCTTTAGGGCAGATTTATGGCACTATTAATAGCAGCAGCATGGAATGGCTATGAATTAAAGATAGAAATACTCGTCTCATTCAAAGCAATGGTGATTTTTTTACCTAGAGAACATACAGCTCCATTTTCAGTGTGTTTTTCAGGACTGGAGAGGTTTGCAGCCCACTGTAAAACAAACTATATCTGCATTTTTGTCACTGTGGTTATGTTACCATCTATGAAGTTAATGGCTTAGTGGGAGAATTAATCATTTGTCAGTCTGGGAATCTTCCTAATGAAAGCCAGTTCAGAGAGAGCCCCATTTTTCCCTGTACTGCTTTTTCCCTTGCCCGTGAGCACTTCTAGTTCTATTTGGGACACCAGAAGAATGTTAATAACTTGCTGTAAGTAAGTCTGACAGTGGTGTTGTCACATTAATTCATGTGTGTGCTGCACTTGGGACTTGTGTTAGAGGGAAAGTGCTGTCATCTCCAGGCAGAGCCATTCTGCTTCTCCGGTGAGATGAATTTGTTCCTGGGGTTTGTCAGGCCACTCGTGTGGTCCCGCTGGTTTTGGTGGGATCACGTTCCCTCAGAGTTCCCTCTGACCTTGTGGCAGGGCCGTGTTCACCCGGGTGCCCTGAGCACTGAGGCAGTGTTTTGGCAGATGCCTGTTAATCCCTGCTCTTCCCAGGCAGATCCCTGCTCTCCTGCACCAGTGTGTGACTGCAACAGCTACAGGGGTGTGTATCTGCAGCTCTGCCACTCCAGAACAGGGGAAGAGGAGTCTGGTGCATGCTCTGAGGCCTGAGGTGGTGTGTCAGCACAGGGCAGCACCCCACCTTTATCCTGCTGATGGTGCAAGGCTGGGTAATGATCCATCAGCACAGCCCAGCAATCCATGAACAGCTATTGAGGGATGAGTCTGCAAAGTGATAATCATCTACAGCCCAGGGCATAATTAGCAGGAATCCTAGACCAGAAAGATTTCATGGCCTAATTGATCTGTCTTTGATTGATGACCAGATAAGATTAACTATTTTTCCCTGGCCGAATCCATCAGGGCTTCCCATTTGTCTCCTTTAACCTAAGCAAGGCACTGTGCAGACAGCTCCTTTCCTCTGAGTGTGTGGAGGGGCTGAATTCCCCCTGGCAGTGACAGAGGTGACAGTCCCACAGCGTGCTGTGAGGGGGTGCATGTCCCAGGAATGAGTGTGGGGTTCTGCTGCTCCAGAGAGGCTGTGCTGATAATTCAGGCTGCTCACATTATCCCAGTGCACCCTCACTGGGAGCAGGGGGGCAGCTCCATCAGGGCTGTTTGGAGTGATTGGAACTGAACCTGTGAGCTGGAGGAACTGCTGCCCCTTGGGGCAGGCCAGGTAAAAATGTCCCACAGGGCCAGTTGGTGTTCTTAAAAACAGTAGGAGTATCTTTAGGAGAACTGGAAGTGGCTGCTGAGGTCCACAAGAGGAATTTTGCTCATCTGTGGATGAGCAGAATGGAAGAGGAATTTGCCCAGCTGTGCTCATCTGTGGTGTTTCCTTCACACCCTTGTGGCACCTGCATTAGTTTAAGCACCTGAGCAGATGGGGTTCCATTTGTTCACCTCCTGCTGAGGAGCTCAAATGCAAGAACTCATGGACTGCATCAATAAAAATACTGAAGTTCTGTGTCTGTTGGGAGTGGTTTGATTGTTTTGTGTAAAAAACAGAACAAAACACCAACAAAACCCCAAACAAAACCAAACATCCCGAAGGAAAAAAGGCTGATCTTGCAGCAGCAGCAGCAGCCAGCTGAGCCTGCTCCCCTGTTGCAGTGCAGTGCCCCTGCAGCAGCAGGACAGCACCGGCCCCTGGGATGTCACATCCCTGGAGTGTTCAAGGCTGGACAGGGCTTGGAGCACCCTGGGGCAGTGGAAGGTGTCCCTGCCCATGAAGGGGTGGAACAAGGTGAGTTTTAAGGTCCCTTCCAACCCAAAGCACTCTGGTTCTGTGATCAGCTGAAGGAAGATGCAGTTTTGAGTGCTCAGGGGTAAGATGAAGGTGTTGGTGCCACGAGGCCCAGCCTAACACAGGTCTGGGCAGCAGTGTTGGAGCAGGGGCAGCTCAGGAACAGGGAGGAGGGTACAGAACGGGAGAGGAGATGAGTTGGGTTGTTTGGTTTGGGAAATCAAAGACTGGGAGGGGATGTGACTGCTGGCTCTGAATGCATTGCAAAGGGAAAGCTCAGCTTATTATTTGAGCTGATGGGGGAAGTTGGCACAAGAGCAAGCTGAAAATTGTCCACAACTATATGAAACAGGCCCAGGAAAATCTAAGGTATTTTGAGTGGAAGATTGACAGGTTTTGGAAGAATTGTTACAGCATTGTATTTGTGCTCTTGCTCTGAAGTTGTAAATGTGATTAGCAGGCAGTGTATTGACTAATGGGAAATAAGGCTGGAAAGCTGTCTGTGGTCCCAGTTCAGTCCCTGTGTCCAGTGAACTTCAGATGCAAGCAGCAGTGCTCCCATTCCAGTCAGGAGATGCTGCTGTACAGGGATCAGGCTGCTCTCTGCTGGCTTTTAATGCTGCTTTGGGACACTTGCAGGCTGGTACACAAGAACTATTGATACACAGCTGTGGGGCTTTCCACGGGGCTCTGGCAGCTTGTCTTTAAATAATGACTGAGGGTCGTGTGTGTAGTGAAATACTGTGTGCATCCACGTTGCCCAAGGCTCTCTCATCATTTTATAATTTTATTAAGAAAAGCTGCTAATGGCTGCATTTGCAGGATATTAAAATTCTTATCTGTTTATGTCTGAAATTTTTGGTTACAGAAGTGGAGGTTGCTGCTGTGCCTTGTACTCTGGGGAGTCTTATCTGCCCAGAAGCAAAAATGTCAGTTTTCTTCAGCAGCAGCAGCAGCAGCAGTGAGATACAGCAGTGTGTGCACACAGAGAATAACAGACCAGAGACAGGGGCTGGGGTGAGCTGTTTTAGCAGTTTCTGCAGAACAGAGAAGACAAGCAATTAGAATGTTTGGAATAGCCTTGAGGATTTGATGAACCCACTTTCATTTCCTTCCTCTTGCAAGCAGTTCCAAAATACAAAGTACAGCATCCCTCTAGGCTTGGAAGATTGTTTTTTTATTTTTCCAGGGGTTTTAAGCTGTAAGTGTGCATCATGTTTTGTTTGTTTGCTGGCAGTAACAATGCAGGAATGGCTGTGCTGTCAGAGCAAACATCCATTTAACTTTGCTACTAGATGGTCGGGGTTAAAAGTATAAAGGGAAAAAAACCCCAAAGTGTACAGAGGAAACCTTCCTGTGGCTCCCAGTGCCTCCCAGTCAGCAAGGCAAGTACTTCCCCAGCCAAAACTGCATCTAGATAATTCCAGTTTTTATCATTGCATCTGATTGGGGTTTTTTCCCCCATAAGATTTTTGGAATTCATTTATGCTTGTGACCATCTGTGGGAATTAACCCCCAAACTTGTGTGGACCCTCTGGTTGGAGGGAAGCAGGCTGTCAGGGATGGAGCAGGTTGTGTTGCCCTGTTGTTTCACCTTGCAAAGGGAATTTCCTGGAAGGTGTGAGTGGCTCTGAGCCTGCCAGGTGACATAGGTCGTGTTGGGCACATCCTGGTGCCTTTGGCTGTCCAACATCCTGATGAGGAAACCACAGAGAGCCTCTCCTTGCTTCAGTGGCCTTAGGCTTGTGTGCCCAATGAGAACATAAAATGCCTTCTGCTGTCCTTTTTTATGCAGTCAAATGGCCTATTTTGGTTATTGGAGCACAAGAGTTTTGGGGGAGCAGTCCTGGAGCTTTGCCAGATTGCAGAAATCCTTCAGGCTTGCTGTTTGCTGATGGGCAGTGCTCTATAATTAG